TTTTGTCTACGTGTCGTCCATGTCACTGTTCCGTTAACGTTGACTAACGGTAACTTGGTCAAGGTCTAAATCAACAATAAAATCGTATGTTTGGGTATTGAATTTGAATTAATTTGAGGTTCGGATTTAAACTGACCAATGTTAAAAGATCAGGTCCAAAAAGGCCGATGGCAATAGTTTTGGTCCAAAAATGCCGTTTTCCCTTCTACGGTTCTACACTCGAAACAGAACAAACATTAACATGTTAACATCACATATCATATTTCACTTCAACAGTACACAGAAGTAAACATGATAAATGAACAAGTTAAAAAGTGTTAACGAATTTGTGGAACTTCAGAATCAAGCAAAAAAGGAAAAAAAACTGCTTTGAAGCTAGAGCCGGCCCTGTCCCTGGTCTGTGTACTGTGTAGGGCATGAAGCAAAAACCAAAAAATTGGCCCACTAAATATTTATTTAGATGAAAAAAAGGTTTCATCATCCATACACATGTTTATCACCTACTCAATCTAATACCAGCTGAGGTATTGAATTCTATCCTCAAAAATTGGTCCCTAAAATTATTAAACATACTAAAGGCCCCAAGCACAAGCTTCATCAGCTTGTATCCAGGGCCGGCACTGATTGAAGCTCTGCTGCTAAAGGTAGAAATGATTAATGATCTTCCATTTTTTCCATTGTATTGAGAGATCGAGAGGTCGAGATCGATCGAGATTGAACGGTCAAGATGAGTGACCGAGATTATGGAAATATTGTCTATATCGAAGATATAGGAAAGTTCATATTTGTGTATAAGTTAGATTTCCTATTTCATAAATGTAAAGAACTTGGTGAACAAGTTATTATCTTGTATAAATAAGCCTATTGGCTAATCAATAAAACTGAGAGAAATTATTCTACTTCTAAGGTTTCCTCTAAAATCTATCATGTATCAGAGTCTAGATCCAATTCCTATGGATTTTAGATTTTCCTATCTTTCGCTATGAAAAAAAAATGTGAACGAGTTATTTTTTTATATTTATTTGATCGATTTCTTCTTTCTCTTTCTTTAACCTTGTTCCCTCGATCTCTCTTCTCGTTGGAATTTTCTTAATATTTTATTACACAATTATTTTGATGATTTTGGCTTTGATCGGTTTTAAAAAAAAAAGTGATCTTGTTCTTCTAATTTGATGATTATACTCTGTTCGAGAAAATTTGGTCGGATGCAAATAAATTAATGAGGATGAAGCCTTGTATGATGAACAGTTTGTTAGGTCTGCTTCGAATTCGCATCAAGCGTGGTGTCAACCTCGCGGTTGGTGATCTTTTTACTAGTGATCCTTACGTTATCATCAAAATTGGAGAAGAGGTAACCAAAAATCATAACTTATATACAAACTAGTATGATGACCCGTGCTTCGCCCGGGTTAGAGAATTTGATTAAGTCTTATTGTTTGTTAGTTAAGATATTTTTCTAACTTATAAGGTTGATTAGACCCCAAAAACAAAACTTATAAGGTTGAATATATAAGCTAACAATGGATCAAATGTCAAGTAACTCACAAAAAATCGTAACTCTCCCAATCTGTTTTTCTTTTCAAACTGTATTGGTTTGCCAATATGGTTAATCCCATCATTGTATCATGCTTACTTTTGCTTACTTTTGTTCCTAACTTATATATGAAAAAAATATTATGTCGAAAAGAAAAAACCTCACAAAAATTATGTAGATTCAGTAGGGATGATGATTAGTATAAGAAAATCATTACACCAACCAATTAGTGTTAAGATGTTATAAGTGCTTGAAATTATACATGTATATCTTCTTCTTGATAGAAATACGATAGTTTATAAAAAATCGCTTAGAACATATATCTCTTGCGCTATTTAAATTGAAGTTATTAAGCCCTCGATTTTGATAGAAAATAACTACAAAGGAGGGTTGATGAGCATATTAATCAGGTCGGAACTCTGTTATTCCCTGGAATTTTTTGACTCCGTTGGTGTGGCTCCGTATGACTTCTTCCCTAATTTTTGCTAACATCAAAACAACAAAGACAATGAATGACATATCAAATACTTTGTGAAAATTTTTCTTTATTCTTCGTAAGCTTTAACTTCATCTAAGAATTGTAAATCACCCAGTTTGTTTGGATGAGGAGTTCATTACTTTGCCAAAAAAAAGACAGAACATAAGACGTTAATATGAAATTTATTATTATTAATAATTATATGAAAAATGAAAAAATAATTATTTCAGTAAGCCGTTTAAAAAAAAAAAAGATTGAAAAGTGGACGAACTTTGACTTGCCGCAAGAGTTTGGAGAGGATGGAACCGATCATTTGACGGTTTTTGGACATTAGCTCTGTGTTGCCGACGGTAAGATCAAAATTTTCCGTTTACGTTTTTACGATACAAATCTGATGGTTTTATAAAGGGAATTTAGGAAATTGATAAAATTTAGAAGTAGAGAATTTGCTTTTTGTATAAATCGCCAAATGAGAGTATATATATTTATTTAAGATGACGGTTTGGGTAAATGGTAAATCTAAGTAGAAAATGGGTAGTTTTTCTTGTAAAAGAGGTGGGAGTTTGGAGCCCGAAACAGAGAAGTGGGAATGTGGGATGCAGTTTTTTTTTTTTTTTTACTTAAAATGATATTATTTTATGAAACAAAAAAGTGAAATAGGAACGTGTTCTTGTATTTGTTCAAACCAATTTTTTTTTAAAATGTGTTTGATGATGTGGCAGAAATCTATTGGTGGAGTGACTTGTGATTTAGTATTATAAGGATATCTATAATATTTATTGAATTTACTAATATATATATTACTCGTTTAAAAATTAAAAGATGTTAAGTTTCATGAAATTCCTAACGAATATCTTACAAATCAAAATTCAAATGAATACATATGATTAGATTGGTTCAATTTATCATCTAATATTTATGGATTGTATGTTTAGGTATTTAGTGCGATTATTATCTTAATATTTTATGGTAAACAACTATTTTGTTTACGATAGTGTTACTTAATCTAAACAATTGAGCAAATTCACATTTTTTATTATAAGATTTCAAAAAATGTTAAAATCATTATTTATAATCATACATATAATACTAGTTAGATTATTGAAACTAATGAGAAAATTGAATGGACAGAGATGGAAGACTCAAGTTATTTATTGCGATGTGAATCCTGAGTGGAATTCAGATGTGACTCTCTTAGTAACAGACCTCAATGTTACTGTTCTCTTGGTATGTTAGAACTTAAAATAATGCTCGTATAAAATCATATGTTATGTCATCATTGATCCCTTAATTTGTAACCATTTTTTTTATTTCAAGACGGTTTACGATCAAGATACGTTCACGAAAGACGATTACATGGGAGATGCAGAATTCGCGATAAAGCCATATTTTGATGCACTGAATCTGCAATTAGAAGGACTTCCATGTGGAACTATTCTGACTACAATCCAACCTAGCCGAGGAAATTGCTTAGCCAAGGCGTCTCACATTAATTGGTCTGATGGTAAGCTTGTTCAAGATCTAATCCTTAAACTCCGACATGTCGAGTGTGGTGAAGTCGAAGTTCAGCTTCAATGAATTGATCTTCGTGGGCTATAAGGGTCTGTAGACTTTTGTCTTATTTTTTTTTTTGTATATGAGACTTTTTTAGACTCGAACTTCAAACCCTAAAATTAATGTAAACAAAGGGTTTAGAAGGAAACGACAAGAATGTCTTTGTACAAAACAT